CCAAAATTCGTCATCTATGGGATTTGAACTCTAGACCTGCCACTTGGGAGTTGACAACCTGACCACTTCACTAGGTTGCCACACCCCTTATCATATATTTTATAATTTTTAGATCATATAATAAAGATATAAAAATTTAACTACAATACTAGGGTTCAGGACATGGAAAAAAAATTAGGCATGCCCTTTTTAAATTATGTGATTAACATATAGTTTACAACTTCTTAAAAATCTTATATATTGATTTAGTATCTACAGTTCTAGTTTACCTGAACTTATTAGCCAATTAAAATAACTTTAAATATTACATGACAAGGGCATGCCTTTTGAACTTGAGGCATGTCCATAGGCATGTCCTAGGGGCATGCCCTTAGGGGCATGCCCTATGCTCCTGTGCCCTAAACTCTATACAATACATTAAATAGAAACTTTATGTACTTGGAATTTGTAATAATTATATGATATATAAAATTACTGATTTATATTTATACTAAGTATTTGTAATACATAAATTATTATGAATAATAAAAAGATATTTGCTAAATATATATTACTATTATTCTGAAAGTAATATAATTATATACAAAAATTTGAAATTGAAATTTATTTTATAAAAATATTTTATGTTTTAATAAATATTTCTTGTAAATTTCATTGTTATAATTATTATATCAGTAGTTACTAAATTTTAGTTTTAGAAAATTTTAATTTTCATATATTATAAATAGGTAGGCTAACCTTTGTATAATTGGTTAATAAAATCAATTGCTTAGGTAACTTATTTGTTATTATACAGTTTAAAGTACTTTTTAAGAATATAATATTTTACTAATAAAAAATTACTATAAAGCCATTTATTGATTTAAACAAATAATTATATTTGGAGTATGGTGATTTAGTGAAGTGGTCAGGTTGTCAACCCCCAAATGGCAGGTCTAGAATTCAAATCCAATAGATGCCGAATTTTGAAAAATAGGTCTATATTACAGTAACTGTCTCTGTCGATCAGTTGGATTAGTGTATCTGTAACCTTTGTTGCACCATCTCGAATAGGAGCTCGAGGCATCTATGCTAAGTGTAACATTACACCTACATAGAGAAATGTTAATAACTAGTATTGCATAAGACTTCAGTGCAAACCTATGATAAAACCACTGGGCATGAAAAGCAAAGAAACCAAAGAGTCAGAAACCTACTTGGAAATTCTGAGTAAGAAGGTAGCACAAAACTTTTGACAGTGCTATTGGACTAATAGAAGCCCATGAAACACCACCAAAGGGATAGGTAAATAAACTGGATAGCAAGATGTGTAGAGGAGCATATGACCAACCAGACCACCAGAATCGCCAGATGAAAAGAATACTAAGATATATTATACTAGGCCATCTGGATTGAAAGTCTGGAGAGTCCTATCAGTTCTGAGTAGCAGTTATAGAGAATGATAGAGAGGATGTCAGAAAGATGAGTACCAGGGTTTTGAATGAACCTTACAAGAGTAAAAGCAGTTTAATAGTTAGCTCTAACTGCAAGTGATGGTTTAGGCCAAAGCATGACCATGTAAACTATAAGTATAAGATACAGAATGCACTGATAGGTTTAGTACAAAGTTAAACATGACTTAGTAACTATGGCATATCTTTACTAATTTACTAGAGTTGTTAGTAGGATGTAGTAGATACTGGATCAAAGTGTTTAAATAGAGGTTCTACAAGTGGGTCCTAGGTATAGCAACTAGTGTAGAACCTTTAGGCAGACTACTTAAATTAGACAATAACTAAAGTTGTATAAGTAGCTAGTTGTATACTCTTTTTATAATTGCCTCTGTACTGTTATATCAACAGATGCTAGTCAACTTATACTATCAATAAAATTCTAGGTCACATGTACTTATCTTAATATTTAAAAAAAAAAACAAATACTTATATTTAAATTTGTAGTCATTATTTAATTTAGATAAACTATCTACTTTATTATATTAGATTTTAATAAACTTTATAATTAACTATTTACTTTAGACTAGTATAATTATTTTAGTAATAAAAGATTTAGATTTAATGCTTTAGTTTGTGTTGGCCTACAATCTAAGGGATAAATTAAAGACCTAAAATTAAATAGCATGGTCTGATTTTATTTTATTTTTTTGTTAATATTACTTTTTAATATAAATCTAATTATATATTTATTTATTATTATAGTTTGTAATGGATTTTTTAATACAAATTATACAATCTTTGCAAAGTATAGTACTTTAATTCTAAATAAAAAAAGCAAAGTTCAGTATATAATTCTTCAAAATAATGATTTATATAATAGATCAGATCATGCAGAAGACTATTTTAAAAGTACAAAATGCTTTGAATATTGTTCAAACAAATAGTATTATGAATGTGATCTTTTGTTAAAAAATAAAGCATTTAACAAAAGAAATTATAAATATCAGAAGCTATTTGCTTAAATTGATTGTACTATAAACTTAAATATAAAAGAAGAATTAACTAGTTTAATTTATTGTAAATATAATTAAGTATTAAATTTTAATAAGTGGATTAATTATTCTTTTAAAGAGCTTGATGCATATATAAGAAATCAAGAAAATTGTTCTAAAAAATATCATTCTGATAATTTTAACAAGTTACTTAAATATTATAAAAAAGAAATACTCGATTCTAAGTATCAACAACAAGTTAAAGAATATCCAGCATTAAAAGGCCTTCTAGAAGCAGTAGAAGAAAATAGAATTAAAGATTAGATAGCAAAATATATCCAATATATGGTAAATAAAACTATGGATAAGAAATTATCTATATTCTTTAAAATAGCTCAATCAGTTACAAAAATTTTATATAAAATAAAACATAATATTACTACAATGCATGAAATTTAATATAATAAAACTTTTGTTAATTTTCTTGTAGTACTTATCTCAATTAGTATACTTGCTATATAATGGATTACATTAAATCTCGCAGAACCAACAATAAGATTTTTTCAACAAATAAGAAATAAAAATAAAAATTCTTTTTATTTTTTAGAAATTAATGTTTTAAATTTTCCTGAATTAATTAATAAATAGTGATGTGTATATAATTATTTGAGACTAATTATATATGCAAAAGATCAAACTAAAATTGCTAAAATGATTGAAGTTAATTGTAATCAGGCTCAATTTGTTGGATGTACACAGATGCAGCAAACTTTTATTCCTTATTTAATAACAATTGATGAACTTCAATGCAAATTAGTAACTTTTAAAAAAGCTACTTATATTATGATTTTTGCAATTTTAGCAGTTATATCAGAAATATTATTACTTATAATTACAATACTTTCATCAAATCAAAAAGAAACTTTAATAAATATAATTGAAGAAAATAATTTGGATATTAAACATTTAAATTAGACTAGTGAAAAATTAGTTGAATTATATTTTGATAATGCTTCATATAATCAGAATTGGCTAAGTAGAACATATTTTATGAATTATGAATTTCAAAATAAATTAGGATTAATTAAAGTATTTTATAATTTATAATATTTTGTTATTACAAAATATAAAATCTAATTTTTTTTTAATATTTGTATAAAGAGTTAGAATCGATTTTATTAAAAAAATTTCTGCTTAATATACATTTATTTGAAAACAAATGACTACTTTTAAGTGGTACAGATTTTTATCATTGTATAAAAAAAGGTTAGTACTTTAATGAAAATATATTTTGAATTTATTCTATGTATATTATATTGGGTAATTAGTAAAAACAAAGTCTTTTGTTATGAATATTTTATTTTATTTATTATTATTATTATTATTTAGAATGTAATATACATAATTCTGATACATGCATTATACTAATTGAAAATTATGTAATGTCAGCTGAGCATCTTTGAAAATTATATACTATCTATAGAAGAAAATCTGGACTAACTACTAATGTATTAAATTCAAAAACAAACAATCTGATGAACTTGCAGAACAGTTTTATTTATCATATATTTTAAAAGATATATTAGCTTTATTTATCATTTAAATTTTTAGTTTGTTTCTTAGTATTAATTTTATAATTGTAAATTAGCAATTTTTAAACATACTAAAAATATAATGATAATATTTTTTATGAAGATGTGTTATATATTTTTTTTTTAGAAATGCTTTTAGAAGTATAGAAATCTAAAACTATGGCTCATATTGATCAAATAGCCTATGTTTGGTCTAGAACTATATTTTTAACAACTATATAGAAATATATTAAAAATAATTCAGTTCAATGAAGTTCAAAAAAATATGAAATTTCTTGGTAAACCAAAGATGATTTCCTTTATCTTGAATATATACTAATTTTATTAATTAATTATTTTCTACAAGCATATATTAGCATTTTTCTATGTTCTTGATTAATCTCTACAGCATTTTTAAAATATATTTTTGGATATGCATGCTGATTAATTGAAGATTTTACTTCATTAGATTTTTTAATGATAAATGAAAAAATTATAAAAAATATTAACATTGAGATAAAAAATAAAAACTATTCAAAAAATTTAATTAAAAAAAATTATTAATATATATCTGTTATTCTAAGATCTATTAAATGCCTTGATAGTAATGATGGTTATAATATATGTCTTGGATCAATTAAAGACACATTGGACTCTAAACTAGCTTTATTTCTAACAAAATTTAAATTGAAAATATATTAGAAAAGGTAATTAAAATTGCTAATTAAAAAATTAAAGCTATTTATTTTAACAATAATCATTTTATCGAAATTCATTTAGCCTATTGTATAGGATTAAATTTAAATTTAATTTTGTATAATATTGGCTAAATAAGCTTTTATAAAATAATTGTTAGTAAAGTAAGATGAAATTCAAAAATATATATATATATAATAAATTGTTTTACTTTGTTAAATTTAATAGGTTTTAACTGCTATGCATAGAATTTTAAAATCAATTAGCATAAATTTTTTACCTTATGAATATACACAGATTATTCAAGAATGCTTTAACTATCAGCATAATTTTATAAATTTGGGAAATAAGCTTTTAGATAAAGAAAATGAAGTTGAAACAGTTTCAATTAATGATAATACTACTGGATTAACTGTTGAACAATTACTTCTTTTACACAACAAAAACTTATAATACATTAAAATCTACCTAATAAATATAATTTTACTGCTTCTAGTTTAGAAATCTATAATTCAAATAATAATAAAATGTTTAATAATTTTAATAAACATAATTATTCATTTTTTGAATTAGTAAATTATTATATATATTTAAAATCTTTTAATCCTATTCAAATTATGAAAAAGATAACATATTATAGAGATAAATATGTTTAAAATACTAATTATAATAATTTAAATTAATTATTGCTATTAAATTAATGCTAATTAATTTGTTAAAGAAAAATTTAATGAGTATATACTTAAAAAAACATGAAAATTTAATTCAGCATCATCACAACATTCTCAAAGCTTTATAGTTAATACATCAGATGGAACACTTAATTTAGAAGCAGCTTTGTGACTTGAATGAATAAATTTAGCAGAAAGGTTTACTTCACAAACAAAAGATCATCTTATCTAGTGAATAAGTGCATATCAAAAAATGTTTAATATTATAAAACTTAATTCTGACAATGCATATTATGTAGCTGAAAGCTTTTATCTTTATGTTTATAATGAAAAAATATATATAGCAGAAATTCTCACTATTTTTAAGATACTTATTTATTAATTAAACTGTAATTTAATATACCAAAAGTTAGCTAAAAAATAATATTTATAGAAATATAGCATGTTATATTGTCAAGCTGAATTTTTGAATAGATTAAATGCTAATCATATACATGCAATTTTATATGAACAAGATATTTTATATTTATTTGAATTTCATTATATTTTAGATCTATTAAAAATTCAATATGCACTTGAAGAATATTCTTTTCGTTTTTTTTGGTTTCTTAGACAAAGTTAAGGTTAAAAATAAATCAACTTCACTTTTTTTAGGACAATATATAATTTTAACAGTAATTCAATTACAATTTTATAAAAAATTAATGAAAGAGATCATTCAAATTGAATTCAAAATCTTGGATGCTGAAAGTTTAATGAAAAAAATTCTAGAATAGTTTTAAAATTTAGATTTATTATGTTTTAGAAAAAAATTTTTTTTATATAAGTTCTATGTACAAAAATCATTTATTAATAAAAATATTTAGTGTACAGTTGACATAAAATCTAACATGTATGGTACAAGTTTGTAAATTTGATCTGTACAAAAATAATTTTTGTTTATAAAAGTTTCATTAATAGAGAAATGCTGTATTCAAGTGTCTTGTTGTAATCTCCAATGTATAAGTAGTCTCTGAAGGCATGCTGTGTTCTATAATACTTAAATAAAAATATTGCATCTTCAAAATAAAGATCTTAATTAAAAAAAAAAAAAAAAAAAAAAACTATAAATTCTTTTGTATATATATTAATTTATAAGCTCTTTTCTAAAAATGTAATAACCTAGTAAAGCGGTTAGGTTGTCAACCTTCCAAGTAGTAGGTTGGATGTTCAAATTTTATCAATAGTAAAAATTTAGATAATTATCTATATAATATTTATATTATGGCAACTGTTACTAATGATTAGATTAAAATACTTGTAATAATAGTTATACCAATATGACTGGCAGGTTATAGAGCATCTGTACAATATTAAAGTTATACAGAAGAATGCAAACTAACAACTGGGTGATGCAAACATTAGATAAGTCCTTGTGGTCATATAAATCTATTAAAATTAGGTAATAAGAAATTCATTTAAGAAGATCCAAGTAAAGAGATAGTTAAATCTTCAACAGTACTACTGTAAAGGCTAGTTTGAAAAAACAGATAGTTAGGTCTTAGTAACCAAATAGACAAGAACCTTTGGGTTGAGAGTTTTAAAAGTACTACCAACCAGGCCACCAAAATGAACTAAAGAAAAAAGATATTGAGCTAACCTAATATACTAATGGACTAATCATAATCCTATATAGGTTATTTGGATTAGAAGTCTGATAAAATTTAAAAGTATACTAAAGTATCAAAGTTATGTTATAAAGTAATGCTAGAGTTTAAGTGAACTCTACAAGAGCATAGTAGTTTAATAGTTAAACCCTGACTGCAAGTATTGGTTTTGTTATAATAATATTTAGATTAGTTATAAAAATAAATACAAAAGACTATGAGGAGTTTACTTTAAAGATAAATTAGTCCTAAGATTAAGATGATGATCTGAACATTTGAGTATAACCTAGTGAGTTAATACAGATTATAGGTTTAGAGAATTTAAAGTTGAATATTCAAGTAGAGATGTTAAGTATGACAATTGATAAGGAACCTTTAGGTGGACTTCTTAAATAGATAATATAGAAAAGTTATAAATATAACCAATTATACACTTTTCTGTAATAGTTCATTAAACCACAATACCAATAAGTGATTAATAAAAATTAAAAAATCAAAAAGGTTATCTTAAAAAAAAAAAATAAACTCTTTTCTATGAATTTTTGTTTGTTTTTTTATAATACAGTAATATAAATATTAAATAATTAATTTTATTAAGATTATACAAAAATTAACTAATCATATCCTATTACTATGAGATTATGACATATTACTGTATTATACAGATCATATCTCATTATACAACATTTCATATTACAGAAATAGTATCATATTTGTTACATGGATTATAACAATTGTATATGTTATACAAACATGTACATCAGAATTTCAATAAAGTTAAAGGCATGGCCTCACTGCTAATATTTAAAAAAAAACAAACATGTACATCACAGATCAAAACCTATATAAAAATTTTTTTTAAAAATAGGTCAACAAAAATATAATAAGTAGGTTAATAATAATGTTTTTGCTACCTTAACACCAAAAAAAAAAAATTAACTATACTATATTAAATTAAATAGGTTCAAAGACAGAATATTGCAACTAAATGTACTGTACATACATATTCATACTAGTTACTTTGGAAAAATTTTTATGCATAAAAATCACAATTCTGTGATAAACTCTTATTTATTTGAAATTCTGTAACATTCTATTGTAATTAAGACCAATTTTGTAATTAAGAAAAATTTTGGAGTATTCTGTAAACACAGCAAATCATCGTCCCTGCACACGGACATCAGGTACTCTATTGCTCTACATGTAGTGTCTTTCGGACAATTTTTTATAATCAACTTTACAAAGTTAATTGTTTGGATGATGTTAAAAAAATCAGTTACACTGCGGTTGTTAAGTGTGACATGTAGCTTTTGCTTTTGTTGGTAGAAAATTTGCCACTAAAAATGACGGTTTAAGTGACACTAACAGATTTTAAGTATTTTGACTGCTAACATCTAATGAACAGTAACCATTTTGTCTTCTAAATAAAGTTCGCTAAGAGTTTGATCTCTTTTGATTCTTTTGCATAATGAACTTTGACAGCTATGAACAGTATTTGCATAGTATTTGCAGTGATTTTTTATTAGTGAAACGTTACATTCTTAAAGTGTATAACGATAAGTTATTCAGTATCATTTTGTTAATTATATAAACTAAGGGGTTACGCGTCTCCAATAAAGATTGTGTTAACTGAAAATATGATACGTAGAATTATTATTCAAAAACATATAATGAAGAGTAAAAGCCTCGCCAACACGTACTAAAAAGAATTAATCCATTTTAATTGATTTTATTGGTTTATAGTCACGTTTTAATCTATATAAATTAGCCAATCAATAAAAGTTTTCCTATGAATGTATTATTAAGCGTAATTTCGATTTTAAATTTACTTAACAAATAGCGGTAATGGAAAGAGAAACTGATCTGAAAAATTCTAATCCTCTAGCTTCAAGCCACAATTGGGTATGATATGTTCGTTAGGACTATAAAATTCCGAAGCCGCATAAGTTAATAATTCTTCATTTAAGACTCCTACGCAACGGTCTAACGTTGCAACTTTATGTACTCACATTGTATACGAAAGAGTATGGTCGAATAAAGACGTTGATTTAGAATGGAAACAACAATTTCTTGCTAATGTATTTCAGCATTTAGCTGTTGACGATACAAAAGGTTTAGCTTTATATCTTTGATAAGAGTGAATGCAAATGACCGCCAAAAAGATCCCAAAAAAAGAGGTATACTTTGTACATTCGGTAATCCGAGAATAACTGTGCATTGAACGATTATGGGTTTAAACGATTCTCACAAATCCATAGAAGTCGTTTTAACCCATAGTAAAAATCGTTGTCATAAGCAGGAAAGAATTTCGAGAATTTTGGATCAGCTTTCAATAATTCTGGCATAGATGAGTGATATGAGCGATATGAATTTAGCATTCATTTAAGTCCAGGAAGAGTCATATAACTATTTTTAGAATATAAGCATTGTACGATTTTAAGCTCAAACGAAGAAGGTCCGTTCCCGAATATTTTTATTGATCAATGTCTTGTAAACTGTTGTCCTATTATATTTTCTCCATTTGAATCTGAAATTCTCGAGATGCAGTTGTTGTATGATCGTTCACTTCTTCTTATGGCTTGATTATCATCATTGTTATTATGTAACAAAAACTTCTAGAGGATGTTATTCTTTTTTCGATGATTTTGGGCTTAAACAAATTCTACAGTTCTGGAGCTCATAGTCAACTAAAATTGATTATTTATTCTCGAATTACCCAATATACCAATTGTACTTTTTTTTTTAATCTTTTTTATGCCCGATGTATTATCAAAATCAATTAATAAACTTTTTGAAAATGATTTTAAATAGAACACGATAACAACGACAATAAAATAAACATTGACCTTCTAATAACCACTTTCGAGCAACCAGATATTCGTCAGGAAATTATTTATGAAATTTTATTAGTATGTCTTGGTCTCACTCGGAGCGAGATAAGCAATTCTAGTGAAGGATTAAATCTAAAAGAAAAAGTGAATAATCTTGTATCTAATAGAAATAATGTTGATACACAATTAACCGATTCAATAGTCTTAGTGGATAAGCTGGTAGAATATGATGCTCGATCAAGAGCAGTTTTATTCAAGCATGCACAATATTTAAATGTTCCCATAACTGATGTCAAGTTATTAGAGAGAGATTTGGCACAAAAATTATATTTTTTGCAAGAACAACCGATTGAAACTGGAAAGATTTCTGATGATGGCGATCAGAATATTCAAGGGTTTAATGATAGCGCAAGCACTAGTCTAATTAGTCGTGATAAAAAGAAGAAAAAATGGCATTGGTTGGCTACTGGTGTTGGTGTCGTTGTGGGCGCAACTGCAATCGGTCTAACTGGAGGACTGGGTAAGTCACTCCATACATGCTTTTATATACTTTATTGGATTATTTAAACTAAACAAAATTTAATTATCATGCGTTGTCAAGTGAAGCTGCACCATTTGTTGCTGCTGGAATAGGTGCAATCACTGGAGCGGGGATTATTGCAACTGCAGCATCAAGCGTAACATTAATGACATCCTTATTCGGGATTGCTGGTGGTGGACTTGCAGGTATTACTTTTTTTTGTGTGCGTGTTTTGTTTTTGCTATTATATATATATGGGGTTGAGTCAATAGAAATCAAGCAAATTTTTTCTAAGTAAATTTTTAAAACTTTAAATAACAATGACTTAATTCAAATTTAATAAAATTTTTTTTAAATGAATTCTACAAACTTATAGAATTTATTTAAAAAAATTTTTACTAAATTTTGATAAAGTTTTTGTTAAGTTATTTGTATTTAAAATTTAAAAAAATATTCAATAAAAATAATTTGCTTGATTTCTATTTACTTACCCCCATATGTATATTTATACTCTTATACCTTTCTAATTTAATTTTTTTACAGGTTACAAAATGCATAAAAGATTGCAAGGTCTAAAGGAATTTTCTTTCACTCGGATTGTTCACGACAATTCAATTCCCCTTATTCCGTCTCTTCATGTTCGTGATCTAATATTGATCAAAATTTATTATTTTTTTCCTTTTATATAGCATCTAACTATGAGCAAATTTCTTGTATATAATCTATATGCCCGAACGATAGGTCAACATTGTCATCTCAGGGTATCTTTTAGAAGATGTCAATGAAGTTACTACTCCTTGGCTTCCTACATTTGAGAACGTTTCTGATTATAGTGATACGTTCGCGTTGAGTTTTGACACTGAAATTCTTTTGTCACTTGGTCGATCATTTCGTCGATTTTTAGCGGAGTCAGCTGTTAAGATTGCGGCCAGTGAAGCTATAAAAAGAACTGTTTTTGCAACTTTAGCAAGTGCGCTTATGTTGCCAGCAGCTTTAATGAAAGCTGGAGATTTGATAGACAATCCATGGGCGCTTGGTGTAGATCGAGCACACAAAGCAGGTTTAGTGTTGGCTGATGTTTTGACAGAACGTGTTCAGGGAAAAAGACCAACAGTTTTGGTATTATGAATTTCCAATTATTTATGCAGTTTAGAATGAATTGTACGCTTACCACTATCTTAGGATGAGACGTACAATGGAACTTGTTTAGAGAATTTTTATGACGTGTGAAAGAAAGTGTTAAAAATATAATTAATTATGATTTAATATTTTTGTAGATTGGTTATTCACTTGGTGCTTTGGTTATTTGGAAATGTTTACGAGAATTAGTGAAAAGGCAGCAATACGGGTTGATTGATAGTGGTATGTTTAATTTGAAAATTTTTTTAAGTTGCTAAATAGTTATTTGTCTAATTACTTCTTTTATCTTTATATTAAGTTGTTCTTATCGGTGCACCTATCTCATCTACACCAGTTTCTAAATGGGAAGAAATTTCTAGTGTAATATCCCGCCGTTTCATCAATGTATATGCAACAAATGACATTGTTCTTGCATTGATTTACCGGATGCATTCATTAGACTTAAATATTGCTGGACTTTCACCAGTGAATTGTTCTGCTGTGGAAAATTTTGATATTACAGAGTATACAACTGGACATTTAGGATATCGTGAACCTGAAGTATTGACAAACATTCTTAAAAAAATCCATTTAGATTAAAAAGAAATTATGTTAGGAGGTCTGGTCTAAACGATGGGCCACAGATAGTCTTAAAACCTGTTTGAGAATGAAAAAAATCAATCTGTTCTCAGTTTTAAAATTAGTCCAGTCTGAATTAGTTTGGACTAGACTATTAACATCGTTAATATAAGTGCTATATTTTGTACTATTTGGACATCTACTTTTAAATACATATTATAAATTTTCACAAGTTATGGGGTTTAAATTTGCAATTTTTAAATTTTTTCTAGTTATATATAAATAACTACATCTATTATATTATACATGTCAAGCACATATGATATATATTAAACATGCACATTGTTTTCTAGCTAATATGATAGTGCTAAAACTTGGGCATAATTAATTTGGTCCGGAAGCTCGGGTTATACAAATTTCGAAATTTTTTGGACATGACTACCGTAAAGCCATATAAACCACCCCAAGAGTAGACCCCCTATTTTATACCTGGGTCTATACCAGGGTTAAGAATTTGGTAGAATGTAGAGACCCGGTATTTTATGTAAACCTCCTCGTACTATACCTGGGTCTATCTTAGGTTATTTCTTAATATGTTATTTTAGCATCGCAATCATGCGTATAAATTTTTATAACTGTTAATAGAATTTAATCAATTCATAGAATGTATTCAGTTATTTGAAATATTTTAATATAGCTGAACTGTTTATAATAATGAAATGAGTTTAACATTCAATTATATTTAATTTATTGCATCAGTATTTTTGACTTTGTAAGATTTTTGATAAATTAATCTCAGAATCGTATTCATGAATACTATTTGCTTTTAAAGTAGAATACCAGATGATGGATTAAACAAATATTTTATTAGTTTGGTTTCGTCTAACTTTTATTTCAATCTGAAGCATAGTTAAGAAAATTGTAAGCTTTCTTGGTTTTTTTTCTTTTTTTTTTAAAAAAAAGAAAAAAATCACTGATACCATCGAATTGGACTATTGCACAATGAACCTATGGAATTGTCTTGCAATATGAATAGTAAATAAAAACAAATTGAACGAGTAAATATTGAAAGAGAACTTACTTGTATATATGAGCGCGCCCAAGGGAAAATCTGTCATCGGACATTCAATTATATTTCGTGTACAGTTAGCCGTCTAAGGAAAATCTATCATCATGATAGATTTTCCTTAGATGGATAACTGTACACGAAATATAATTGAATGTCCGATGACAGGTTTTCCCTTGGGCGCACTCATATTATAACTGAATATAATATAAGATAATGTTTAATTTGGAGATGTGATGACTTGGTGTAGTGAACAAGTTATCAATCCCTAAGTAACAGGTCTAGTATTCAAATCTCATAAATAAATGAAAATTTGAAAAATTAATCTGTATTATGACAACTGTTTTGGTAATCAGTTGGATAATGCATTTGTAATCTTAGATCCATCAAATTGGGTTCTACTTAGCATTGAGAGCTTGAGGCATCTATACAATATATAATATTACACAAACATAGAAGAATGTTTATTAGTATTACATAAGGTTTTAATATAAATTTACAATAAGACTATCAAGCATAGAAGATTAAGAAACTGAAAAGAAAGAAGTTTACTTGAAAATTTCTGAATAAAAAGATAATACAAAATTTTAATAGTGTTGTTAAACTGATAAAAGTTTATAAACATTCTTCAAAAAAATAGATAGATAAATCTGATAATAGGTATATAAGAAAAATATATGTATTAATCAATCTGTAAAATTATTAAAAGAAAAAAATTCAGAAGTAGACTATACTGAGTTATTTTAATTAGTAATTTAAGAAGTTCTGTTAGTTTTGAATAAAAAAACTAGTAAGAAGTAATAAAAAAAATAAATATTAGAATTTAAATAAATTTTAAAAAATATAATAGTTTATAATTAGATCTAACTATAAGTGTTAGTCTTAGTGAAATGTAATAACTTAGTGAAGTAGTCAAATTGTTAACTCCCAAGTAACAGATCTAAAATTCAAATTCCAGTGTTAGCAAAATTTTGCAATTCTTTTTGTATTACAGTTAACTGTCTTTTAGAATTAGTTAGAATCAGATATCTATTACCTATATTATACTAGTATGACTAGAAAATTATATAGCATTTATACAATCTTATATAAAGGAACACAAACTAGTACTAGGTGGTATAAACCCATAATAAGTTTCATGGTTATGTAAATTATAAGAACCAAAAAAATAAGTAAAAAGATAATTTGACTTTTGATAATGCTATTGTAAAGACTAGCCTATAAAACAGTCTAGAATTTGTGAAATCAAATGAAAACAAGTCAGTTTTTGAAAAAGAACTATTGCAACTAGTTAGGTTATTAAGATTCATTCTAAAGAAAAAGATTATATTTTAAAGAATATATAAATTAAAGCTAAATAATTGATCACTTATTTAAAAAAAAAATTTAAAAATTTTATTTCTATTAATTTATTATAATATTTGTAATACTAATTTATTTAGTTATATATATTTGGATTAAAATTTAATTTATTAATATACTATTTGGCATTCTTTTAATAGAGTTTATAAGAAAAAAATTAATTTATAATTAGAAGTACTTGTAATAATAAAAAAAAATAAAACTATATAATATATAGATCTTTTCAATTGGGCTTTAGCTTTTCAGTTTTATAAATTTATATGACTACAAAAACTTATTTTAAGTTTGCATCATCTGATGCCAATTTGCATTTCTCTATATAACTTTAACATTGTACAGATGTCCTATAACCTGCCAATTATACTAATATAACTATAGTTACAGGTATCTTATCTTAACTGATTAACAAAATGCCATTACTGTAAAACTATTTATATATTATATAGATGATTTTCTAAATTTTTACTGTTAATAGGTTTTGAATTTTCAACTTACCACTTGAGAAGTTGACAACTTATCTACTTTACTAAGTTATCATACCTATTTCATTTGTATTTATTAAGTATTTGCTTAATTAATTATTAAATCTTGGTCTAAATCATATATTAGAATATGATTTTTTATTTTGTATATAAAGATTTTATTTAAAAAATAAGATTTGTCTCTAATATTATATATTTTGTATTCTTTTTAATATTTAACTACATATGGCAACTTAGTGAAGTGAATAAGTTGTCAACCTTTCAAGTGATAGGTAGTAAGTTCAAATCCCATCAATAGCAAAAATTTGAATAATCATTTATGTAATATATAGATAATATTATAGTGATGACATTCTGTTAATCAGTTAGAATAAGATACCTGTAACATAGTCACACCAATATGACTGGCAGGTCATGAGGCATTTGCAAAATGTTGGAATTATACAGAGGAATGCAAACTAGCATCAGGCAGTGCAAACTCAAAATAAGTCCTTGTAGCTATATAAATCTGTGAACTAAGAAGTCAGAGTCTACTTGAAAAGACCTAAATAAAGAGATAGTACAAATTTTCGACAGTAGCACTGTAAAGACTAGACCTAGAAAATAAATACCAATGCAAAAAAAATCAGGCAGGCAAGAACCTTAGGTAAGAGGTACTACCAACCAGGTTACCAGAAGTCTTAAACTAAAAGAAAAGAACTTTGGGAATAGACTCTAAGGTATTAGAAACAGATCATAGTCTTACTAAACTATCTGAATTAGGAGTCTGAAGTTGGAAGCAGGAATATACTACAAGTACTAGGGATATGCTATGAAGTTAATGCTAGAGTCTGAATGAACTTTACAAAAATGAGCCCTGTTAACAATAGACTAAATATAAGTAGTTAGTTAGCAGAAGAGCTTCTAAAGCCATACAAGTTAAATAATATACTCTAAAATATGTAATAACTTAATGAATATATAGACAGAAAGATCAAAATTAGGTTAGATAGTACTTTAGTATATAGAAACTTGTATGTTATTTGTCAATATAAGTATAAGGATTAAAGTATTTAAATAAGTAACCTTCTAGTAGATTGTAAGTATGACAACTAGTGTAAAACTTGTTGTGTGAATGAACTACTTAAAATAGACAACCAAAAGTTGTATATATAGCTAGTTGTAGACTCATCTTGTACAAGTTATATAATTATAATTAAAATACAATAAAGATAATAGCTGCTAATAATTATAACCTTAGCAAAAGCAAAAAAAAAAATATATATATATATTTAACTACCTATAGTAGGTACTATATTATTGTGAACTTTTTGAAAATTTATATTGATCTAAATAAACAAGATATAAAGTTAAAAATTATATAAAATATTATTCAAATCTAAAG